GAAATAGAATACTGGGACTAGCTATAGTTAGAAGAAATAGTAATCATGCTTTGTGAACCTTGATTGTGAAACCAGAAAACCAATGGGTCTGTGCTGCCGGTCACTGCTTGAGCCAATTAAGCAGGGACAGGTTAGAATCATATATGAGTATTTATTCCAAAATGAAAGCAGCACGGGAAGGCAGCAAGTCATTCTTGAAAATCTGCTTTGCACCCCACCCATAACCCAGCTGCTTATCTTGAGCAGGACAAAGATTACCTGGGGAAGTAGGCAAAAAGAATAAGAATGGGTGTGCAGATTATAGCTTTGGGGAAATAGCAATTAAGCTAGGGTGGGATTCCATTATTTAGGCCACGAGACTGTTCATCTTTCCAAGATAATAAGGCAAGTCTTGAAAGATATGCATGGCCTTCCAACATTGATTCGCCGGGGGCTTACAACTCCGAGCAGTGTGAGAATACGCTATCTTTAATCAGAATAAAACAATTGTTAGGGGCACAAATAGAATATTGGGGACTAGTTGTAGTTATTAGAAATATTGCCAAAACCGGTTTGTCTCGGTGGATGGAGCGTCAGCCTGCAGACTGAAGGATCCCAGGATCCATTCCGGTCAAGGGCACATCCCCGGTGGATGTTTTTCTTTCTTTTTAAAATATATTTTATTGATTTTTTTACAGAGAGGAAGGGAGCGGGAGAGAGAATTAGAGACATTGATGAGAGAGAAATAAACATCAACTAGCTGCCTCCTTCACACTCCCTACCGGGGATGTGCCAGCAACCAATGTACATGCCCTTGACCTTTCAGTCCTCAGACCAAGGCTCTATCCACTGAGCCAAACCGGTTTCAGCTCTAATTGATGTTTCTGACTCTCTATCTATCTCCCTTCCTCTCTGTCTCTGTGAGAGATCAATAAAATATATATATTTTCTCTGCCGAAACTGGTTTGGCTCGGTGGATATAGCGCATCAGCCTGCAGACTGAAAGGTCCTAGATTAGATTCCAATCAAGGGCACGTACCTTGGTTTCGGGCACATCCCCAGTAGGGGGCATGCAGGAGGCAGCTGATTGATGTTTCTCTCATGGATGATTCTAACTCTCTCCCTTCCTCTGTAAAAAAAAAAAAAAAGAAGAGAAAAAGAAATCAATAAAATATATATATTTTATTTTTTTTTATTTTTTTTTTAAATATATATATTTTAAATATATTTTTTAAAAAATATTAATCATGCTCTGTTAACCACGATTGTTTTATTTTTCTTTTTTTCTTTTTTTTTTTTTTAAATTTTATTGATTATGGTATCACATATGCCCCACCCCCCTGTTGTCCATGGCCATGGGCTAGGCCCATATGCATGCACACAAGTCCTTTGGTTGATCTCTCCCCCTTACCCTCACCCTCTTCTACTTTCCCTCTGAGATTTGAGAGTCTGATCACTGCTTCTCTTTCTCTGGGTCTGTTTTTGTTCATCAGTTTATGTTGTTCATTATTGTTTTTCTTTTCTTTTTTTCTTTTTTTAAATATATATTTTATTGATTTTGTACAGAGAGGAAGGGAGAGAGATAGAGAGTTAGAAACATCGATGAGAGAGAGTCATCGATCAGTTGCCTCTTGCACACCCCCCACTGGGGATATGCCCTCAACCAATGTACATGCCCTTGACCGGAATCGAACCCGGGACCCTTCAGTCCCCAAGCCGACGCTCTATCCATTGAGCCAAACCGGTCTCGGCCATTATTGTTTTTCTTTTTTGTGTATTGTGGCCTCTGTGAGAGACAGAATTCTGTGGGAATAGTCCAGCCTGAAGTGGGGCTGGTTGTAAAGCAGTCCTTTTTGCTATAGTATCAGCGAGGTTGTTTCCTGTAATGTTTGTGTTTCCCTTTGATGTCCTTTATAGTGAACTGCAGCTACTTCTGCAGGCTTTCCTCTTGTTTGTAGGAGAGTCAGTATTTCCTGGAGATGCTGAGTAGGGCAATTCTTTGCTTTAAGAGTCCCCTTCCTTTTAATGTTGCTGTATGGGGAAGGAAGGCATACCTGGAGTCATAAATATGGACTTTTGTCCCTTCCTCAGCTGTAGGACTCTGGTCAAGGCAATGAGCTCAGCCTTCGGTCAAAAGCATTAGGAGGCAATGCCAGGGCTGGTCTATTATGGTCTATTGCTGTATATCTAATTTTCTTTCTTTTTTTTAATACATTTTATTGGTTTTGTACAGAGAGGAAGGGAGAGAGATAGAGTTAGAAACATCGATGAGAGAGAGTCATCGATCAGCTGCCTCTTGCACACCCCCTACTGGGGATATGCCCGCAACCAAGGTACATGCCCTGGACCGGAATCGAACCCGGGACCCTTCAGTCCCCAAGCCGACGCTCTATCCATTGAGCCAAACCGGTCTCGGCTGTATATCTAATTTTCTTAATGTCTTTCCTTCTAAAATTATTGTCATTAGCAAACCATACTTTATCAGAATTGCCTAATAGCTGGTATTTTAGATCAGGCCTGTCTGAATAAACTTGTTCTACTATTCTTACACAGGAGTGCCAAATATCCTCCTTTCCCTTCACAGGCAGGAGGGTGGCTGCAATGGGTTTGACATACTTTGAGAGTCACCTCAGGGGAGTCTAAGAGTAAGGCCCAGTATCTAGTGAGGGTCCCCCTGTAAGAACCTTTGAATCTACCGTAGTGTGGGGTCAGGACCTCTAGTGGCTGTCCCAGTGTTAACATGGCGGCCTATTTTACCAGGAGCATTGTGGTTGCAACAGCCCTTAAAAATGCTAGCCATGCCCAGTTGGTGTGAGCAGGAGGTTGAGCAGGAGGTCATGGTTCAACTCCCAGTCAGGGCTCATGCCCAGGTTTCGGGCCAGAACCCCGGTGTGGGGTATGCAGGAAGCAGCTGATCAAGGAACTCACTCTTCATTGAAGTTTCAATCTCCCTTCCTCTCTCTTTCTCTCAAATAAAATATATATATATATATTAAATGCTAGCCATGCCTGGCCAATGTGGCTTGGTGGTTGAGCATTGACCTATGAACCAGGAGGCCACAGTTGACTCCCAGTTGGGGCACAAGCCTAGATTGTGGGCTCAATCCTCAGTGTGGAGCATGAAGGAACCAACCAATCTTATGATTCTCTCTTATCATTGTTTCTATCTCTCTCTCCCTTATCTGAAATTAATAAAAACATAAACAAACAAACATATATATATATTTAAAATTTTAAAGTTTCCTTAAGGAAAGGGTCAGAGGTTCTGCCCATCCCTCTCCCCCACCACCACCTCAGTGTCTGGAGCCCCCAGGAGCTCTGCTCTGGGTCTAGCCTGCTCCTCAAAAGCAAACCAGGGAGAGCGAGCTGCTGGAATCTCACCGAGTCTGATCGGTTCCCTCCCGTGGGAGGGTATTGTTGCCCTGGGCGAGGCTGCTGGGTTTAAAGAACTGGAACCCACCAAGCTGAACACAGACCTGCTCTGCGCACCCTGCCCTCCGGTGAGCTCAGAACTGGCTCTCAGGTGAGCAGGCGACTGCTAGGACTTCTGGCAGCTGGGGGCATGGGGGGGGGGGGGGGCAGAGGAATGGCCCAGACTACCAGCCTGAGGAAGGGGTGGTGGTGCCCGGATGCTCTCGGGAACAGTGGTTCTGTTTGAGGGTTTGAGAGTTGGAGGTGCCTGTTCTGTGACCCCTGTCAGATGGATGTCGGAAACAGGAGCCAGCCTCAGTCTAAAGATTATGTAAAATGGAGTTGCAGCCCTCAGGGTCCAGGAATTCCAGGGCGTGAGAGGAGAGGCAGGCTAGTCTACCGGAGGGCAGCTCAGAGACTGCTCCAAGGACACACCCTGCCTACAGAGGCAGCATGTGAAAGGCCCTCCCTTCAAGGCAGTAGGACCGAGGTATTAATGTATTTATTCTTGTAACACCTTTTACTGTTCTTAGACTTGACAAATTAACTTACTTCATTCAGTCATAACCCCATGAGGCTGCTATTCTAGTTATCCTGATTTTCCAGGACAAAGAAGCACAGAGAAATTCAGTAACTCCGAGTTACACGGCTGTTCAGTGGCTTAGGCTTCCCCGCCAGGTGAGCCCAGCAAATAGTAACAATGGCTTCCCATGGAACACCGACCTTTCCTATCCCTCCCGCAGCCAACAATGTGCAAAGCCTTGGGAAGGGCCTTATCTCCAGGGGAGGGCCACCCCAGGGACTAGTTCTGGCGCCCTAAGGCGAAAGATGGATGTCCACCCATCACCCAGTTTCCTGCCAGTAGCAGCTTGCACTCTGAGTGGATTTGGGGCAGCCTGGAGCAGGGTCCCAGCCAGGCTGGAGTGGGATGGGAGGCTCTTTGCCCCTAGCAGTCCTCCATGCCCCTGGTAAGCTGCTGGCTCCTGCCCAGCTCAGACCTGGCGTGCCCTGTGGAACAATAGCCCGGGACCTGCCGTTTGTGTGCGGTTAGGAGAGCGGGCATCAAAGCGTGAGTCAGTACACCTGAAACTAATTCAAAATAATACTGAATGTAAACTGCAATTTAATTTCTTTTAGTAACAAAAAAAGGGGAGGGGGGACCTGAGTTAAAACAACAGCCCTGTTCACCTGACCTTGGGTCAGGCATCTGACAGATTTTTTTTTTTTTTTTTTTTTTTTTTTTTATCCTCACCCGATGATATTTTTCCATTGATTTTTATTTTATTTTTTAAAATATATTTTTATTGATTTCAGAGAGAAGGGAAAAGGAGAGAAGATAGAAACATCAATGAGAGAATCATTGATTGGCTGCCTCTTGCACACCCCACACTGGATACCAAGCCCATAACCTGGGCATGTGCCCTTGACTGGAATTGAACCTGAGACAAGTCAGTCCGCAGGTTGACGCTCTATCCACTGAGCCAAACCAGCTAGGGCTCCATTGATTTTTAGAGAGAGTAGAAGAAAGAGGGAAAGACATAGAGAAATATGGATGTGAGAGAAACACATCGATTGGTTGCCTCCTGCATACGCCCTGACCAGGGTGCAAGCTGGAGAGGAGCCTGCAACCAAGGTATGTGCCCTTGACTGGGATCGAACCTGGGACCCCTCGGTCTGCAGGCTGAGGCTCTATCCACTGAACCAAACGGGCTAGGGCCTGACATAGATTTTAACAAAGCTGTATAGTTATTCATATGCAAAGGCACTGCTCTAAGCACTTTCCCAACAAGCAAATGCACCTTTGGGGTGGGGGCTCTTGCTTTCCCACCTGACTCCAGCCTGACCCTCCCCCTACAGCCCTGCCCTGCAGCTGTGACATGGAGGGAGTGACCTGGGGCCTTCTCCTTGTGCTGGCAGGTGAGTCTCTGGGGGCCCTGCTGTCCCTCATACCCACAGAGGCAGTGAAAAGCAGAGCAGCATCTCTCAAGGGGGCCTGGTGTCAAATAAATGTTGTTGTTGTTAATATATTTTTATTGATTTCAGAAAGGAAGAGAGGAGAAAGAGACAGAAACATTGGCATTGGCAATGAGGGAGAATCATTGATGGGCTGCCTCCTGCACACCCCGCACTGGGGATCGAGCCTGCAACTCAGACTTGACCGGAATCGAACCTGGGATCTTTGGATCTGCAGGCCAATACTCTATCCATTGAGCCAAATCAGCTAGGGCTCAAATAAATGTGTTTTTGTTTACACTGTCGATTTAAAGGGAAAAGATAATACAGGAGATAATAGTTCAGGGAAGAAGTGGAAGTTGCACAATCTGTTCTGGGCTAATGAACTCGGGGAAGCCTGTAACCATCTGTTGGCATGAAGAGAATAGCGTCCCCATTTTTTTAGGAAGAGGAGGGTCACCTAGGGTCTGCGTTGGAAGCTTCCCAGAGAGGGGAGAGATACAGACATGCCATCCCATTCTGAGTGCAAGAATAGCAGGAAGCCTGCTAATAGCAGCAAGGGCTGAGTGAGGGGCCAAAGGCCGGGGGCTGGGACAACCTCAGCAGCACTGCCTGGGCTGAAGGTGTGAGGGAGGGAACCAGCCCCAGGGTGCCTCCCAGTGAGCTGGCTGTCCTTGCTCTTTGGGCTGAGGTCAGCCTGCAATTCACCATGAGACCAGTGTCATGATCACCCAAATCCTCTGCTTCTCCCACCCAGGCCTGCCTGCTGGGGAAGCCAGCGACCTGATTGGTGAGTGAGGCCCAAACTGCTCTTGCTGTCCCACATTTCCCCTCTAAGACCCCACATCCTGCCTCCAACGTTTTTTGGTCCTTACTTATTTTTTTTCTTTCCTACAGATGAAGACAGTGCCTTCTGTTACGGTAAGAGCTGACGTCCCTCACGCCTGTCCTGGACCTCTGCTAGCTGTTGGTGAGGGGTGATGTGGAGCCCAGTGCAGACGTAGCGGGGCTTGAGGGGGTGAGGAGGGGCAGCATGGCGCAGGGGCTGGAGAGTAAAGGCCAGTGTGGTCAACTGAAAGAACAAAGGCCAACAGACAACCTGGTCTTGGAAAGAACCTCCCTCCAGCATGGAAGGAAGGCGCCTGCCATGCTGAGGAAGCAGATTCTGGGGAAGTAGCTGCAGGCACTGGGCTGCTGGGTGGCCAGGTATCTCACACCAGCCTTCTTCCTTCCCCTCACTCTCACTCCCCTTTCTCAGCACCCAGGTCCCTGCTGCCCCCCAGCCTCCCAGAGGGTTTGCACTGTCCTCCAACGCCCCCAAATGCCCCTCGCTCCCCCTCGCTCAGATCACATGCCACCTTCCTTTAAAAAAAAAAAATATATATATATATATATATATATATATATATATATATATATATAAAATTGATTTTTTTACAGAGAGGAAGGGAGAGAGATAGTTAGAAACATCGATGAGAGAGAGTCATCGATCAGCTGCCTCTTGCACATCTCCTACTGGGGATGAGCCCGCAACCAAGGTACATGCCCTTGATCGGAATCAAACCTGTGACCTTTCAGTCCGCAGGCCTACGCTCTACCCACTGAGCCAAACCGGTTTCGGCAGAAAAGCCTTCCTTGATTATCCCTTAAAAGCCCCCTATTTTTTTTTTCTGTGCTCTTCTGCTCAATGTTTTCTTCCTAGTCCTTGCTCCCACCAGATCATGGACTAGTGCTGTGTATGTCTACTGGCTGGGTTACCTGCCCGAGTGCTGGGGTGGAGCAGGCTGGCCCCAGCTCCCTCTCCTCCCCTCTCTTCCTCTCCTCCCCTCCTCCCCTAGACTGGGAGACCCTGCAGCTGGGCGGGATGATCTGCGCTGGGCTCCTGTGCATCGCTGGAATCTTGTTCGCCCTGAGTGAGCTGGGGGGCTGGCGGGAAGGGGCTGAGGGAGGACATGTGAGGGGGGGGCGGGGGGAGCACGGTGCCCAGGCCCTATGCATGGGTGTCTCTTCCTCTCACAGGTGGCAAATGCAAATGCAAGCTCAATCGCAATCACAGGTGAGCATAAGGCCCTACTGTGTGCGCCTCCAGCTGAGCAGACGGTTGGGAAAGCCCTGTAACGTGGAGAGAGAGGACAGCTTCATGGCTGCTCCCCGGGCTGCGGTGGGATTACTCACAGATAATCCACCCGAAGGGGCCCCACATCAGAGAAAGCTCTGAGCTCTGCCCTTTTTAAAATGACCGAATAGCAAGGGGGCAGTTAGGGACCTCTTGGGAGGGGGCACCAGGAATCTTGGTTGGGTACAGAAGGTCCACGTATGCTAATCTGATGTTCCTCCCTCAGCCCCCTGTCTGAGAAAGTTGTTCCACTCATCACTTCAGGTGAGGCGGGCTTCTCCGAGGGGCTCCGGGCGTCAGTCAGGGTGGCCACAGCCTTTGAGATAAAAATGATATGCTGTGTGTCAGGCGGGACTGTGCCGGGCCAGCCAGCCTTGGGGTTGCCCAGGGCTGAGGGGGCGTCTGTGTAGTGACCACGTTGTGAGGACCTGATTCCCACTCTCTCCACAGGCTCTTCCAGTGTCTGCTGAGCGAGGACCAGCTCCGTGGCACCGCCAGGGCTAGCTCCCCTGCAGTTGGTTCCCGCCCCACTTGGGGCCTTAGGCTCCTCTGATCAAAGCTTATTTCTAATTAAACTGGCCTTCCTCCTCCCCTGGCCTCTGATGGTGTCCGGCTCCAAACCCCCATTTCTCAGTGGTGCCAGATCTGGAAAGAACGATGTGGCCTAGACTTCGGGCCCCTGTCTCGCGGGCAGGGACCCTGCCTCCAACTCGCATTCCCAGGCCCTGAGGTAGAGCCCTTCCAGCAGAACGTCTGTGTGTAAGGGGTGGATTCTCGGCTTAGTCCAGAGCTGCAGCAGGAGCTCCGAGACCCTGAATGGGACCCGGGACGCCTGGCTGTGGAGCAGCCACTGTCCAAGCTGAGTGGTGCAGTGTGAGCGGGAGCCACGGAGTGGGCGGCTGCACCAAGCCCGTCTGTCTGCCAGGCAGATTCTGCCAGCCCCAGTCTCTGAGCGGGAGGAGGTGCACACCGGAGGAGAGGAGTGGGTGGGGGCATGAGCACCAGTGGGTGAGGTGGTCAGGCCAGAGGTGACATCTGAGGTGACTCATCTGTGAACAGAAGAGCCAGCCACGCGAACACCGTTCCTAGTGGAGGGCAGTGTCTGGGCCACCTGCGGGACACTGGCCTTCCTGCCTCTTCAGGGCTAGAGAAAGTGAGGAGGAGGGAGTACCACTGACCCCTGCTGAGCTGGGCTCCGGACCAGGGAGCAGGGGAGGGAGCTCGGTGCAGGACACAGAGCCAGAGTGCAGTCTCCAGAGGAGTGTGCAGGCGGGAGCCAGCACAGCCTTCCCCACGGAGTGGGCTCACGGCCCTCCCTTCTGGGACACGGAGGATCTGGTGTGAGGAAGTAAACACAAGCTCTGCCTGAGAACCAGTCTGGCCCTCTGTGGGGCCGCAGCATGGACAGGATCTTGGCAGCGCCCTCTGCGTGCGCGCCCGCTGCTGCTCTGGAGGAAGGTGGGTCCCCGTCCTCTCACGCTGTTTGAAACCCTTTCAGCAACAAGGAGCCGAAGCCGGTTTGGCTCAGTGGTAGAGCGTCGGTCTGCTGACTGAAAGGTCCCAGGTTCGATTCTGGTCAAAGGCATGTACATTGGTTGCGGGCACATCCCCAGTAGGGGGTGTGCAAGAGGCAGCCGGTCGATGTTTCTCTCATCGACGTTTCTAGCTCTCTATCTCTTTCCCTTCCTCTCTGTAAAAAATCAATAAAATATATTTAAAAAAAAAAAAAAAAAAAAACCAAGGAAACCCCGTGGTATCCTGGGGACCCGTCATTTTGACTCATGATGTGGAGTGCACAGGGAAGAGCATTCCACATTGTTCTTCCCATGTCGGTCCAGTGGACACGGACACACACACACACACACACACAGGAACACACGGTTCTGCTCTGCTTGCAGCCTGCCAAGCACAGCTTCATTTAAGTTTTGCCTGAACAAACCCCAGACCCCTCAAGTCCTATAAGCACCCATTTTGGGTGAGGGCCCCGCAGAGTGTGTGGGAGAGCCTGGTGCTCTGTCCGGGAGCCTTGTCCAGTAACAGGCTAGCGCCTGGGGCTGAGGCTGAGCACCTGGTCCCGAGGCTGCGGGGAGCGTGGGGCATCCTGGGTGGGAGCAGTGGGGGCCGCTGGCGGAGGGAGGGCGATGCAGCGCGCAGTGTTCCCCGCCGGCTGCCGCTGGAGCCCTGCAGGTGGGCTGCTGATTGCCAAGGGAAAGCGCTCCGCTGCCCGCTCCGGAGGGCGTGGGGAAGGTTGCCACAGGGTGTGGGAGTCTCAGGCCCGGCTTCCTGGGCTCCAGAGACCCATTCTCGGGCCTTTCTCTCCGAGGGGAGTGGGTAGCTTTAGTCGAAATTCCCTCCTGTCATTTCCTTGCAGCCCAAGGACGGACCAGGGAAAACAAAAGGTAATTTTCACCTGTTGAATCCTTAGTATGTGATGGACACATAGACAGTTCACATGTTAACTCCATTTCCCCAGCAGCATGTGACACAGGCTGGCATTGCCCCCTCTGTGCATAAGAGGAGACTCGGGCTTTCTTGCTTTCGAGCCATTCCTGAAGGACTAGGCCCCGCTGCCTTTCTGATATTTATCATTATCTGAAAGAGATTGCCTGTTTGGGGACTCTATATCCCTCCTCCCCTGGAAGCAATCTTATTTTTTCTAATTGCAAACATTTTTCATGCCTATTAGAGGAAACTTGAACATTACAGAAGCATCTCACTTAGAAGATAAACCAATTTCTAACTCAGCACCCCAAAATAAATCAAGGTTAAAAGTTTGATATAATATTCTAGAATTCTATTATATTGAATATATATTTCTATAATCCTGGAGATCCTGCCAGGTTCTTTAGAATCAGTAGTTCATTAATAATCAGTAGTTCATTACTTTGTATTGCTGAGTAGTAGACTGAGAGAGTGCTTTTAAAATGAGGGCCTAGCTGAAACCGGTTTGGCTCAGTGGATAGAGCAGTCAGCCTAGGGTCTGAAAGGTCCCGGGTTTGATTCCGGTCAAGGGCATGTACCTTGGTTTTAGGCACATCCTCAGTAGGGGATGTGCAAGAGGCAACTGATCGATCGATGATTCTTTCTCATCCATGTTTATAGCTCTCTATCCCTCTCTCTTCCTCTGTAAAAAATCAATAAAATATATTTTAAAAAAATAAAGTAAAATGAGGTCCTATTAAGTTATAAGGTTTATTCTACACTAATGACTTGAAAACACTATAATATTTGTTTCCTAGAAAGTACCAGCATCTCACCCTAAATTTTTGTGTCAAATACTATAAAACCTAGGGTAAGAAGGGCTCACCACTAACACTGGAGCCTGTGACCAGATCCATCTGGGTTGATTACTGGTTAGGTCCTATGCCTGACTCTGGAGAGGGATTTATTCCTCAAATCTCAACCCTGCCATCAGAGGAACATTCTTAAAGCAAGGTCAGATCAACTTTGTTTAAAATGTACCAAAGATCCCCTACTTATCTCCCAGAAAAATCTCCTTAACATGGCCTATTGACCCTTGAGTCTGACCCCAGCCCCATGTCTGACAATCAGTCCTCCCACATCACCTGTGCTCTCCCACACTCAGCCTGCCTCCTAGACACACCACAGGCTGCAGCCTTCACCCAGGCCCCAGGGCACTGCACTCCCCTGCCTCTGCTGGGCCTTGTCCCTACTCCCCAGCATCTCTGCACCCCCAATTCCCTTCCCGGAGGACCTTTCAGAGGCCTCCAGGGCCATTCTACAACTGCACCACCAACACTCCTCATCTGTTTCCTGCTTCTACTCTTTGTATATTGCCTTAATTCATGTAATATTTATATTTCACTGACTTGTTTAATGTTCTCCAATGTAATTCAGATTAGTGCCTGCAGGATTTCCTGGGTTTTGGCTCACAGATTTGGTTGTTCTGATTGCCAGTTTTATGATTTCCACTGAATACATATTGGCCATTTTGAGTTTTCATGATCTCAAGGGATAAAAAAATATATATATATGATTATAGTCTTTCCACTAATCTGAAAGGTGTTATAGCTCATGGATCTTATAGTTATTCTGTATCTAGACTCTATATTCACAATATCTGGTACTCTTATCAAAAATATCCAGGCATAGCCCTAGCTGGGTATTGATGAGTCTGGGGTTTGATTCTGGTTAAGGGCATATGCCCAGGTTGTGAGTTTGATCTCCAGTGGGGGGTAAGAGGCAGCTAATCGATAATTCTCTCTCATCAATGTTTCTATCTCCCCTTCCCTCCCTCTCTGAAATCAATAAAAATATATTAAATATTATATAGGTATCCAGGCAAAAAGACAAACCAGTACCAGACAGGTAACATAAACACGAAGAAGATGCAGATAATGGAAAGATTAGGCCAAGATTTGAACTGTGATTGATATGTTCAAGGAATGAGATGTTTGGAGACTTTTCATTAAAAAAATTGAATCTATGTGTTGAGTTAAATTGTGTCCTAAACTCCCAGTACCTGAGACTGCGGCCTATTGGAAATAGGGTCTTTGCAGATATAGTATTTTTAGATGAGGTGATATTGGATGAGGGTGGCCCTAATCAATGACTGGTGGTGGCCTTATAAGAGAAAAATGTGCACACAGGGAGGTCATATGGCAACAGAGGTAGAGAAGGAAGTGATGCAACACCAAGATTGCCAGGAACTACCAAAGTTAAAAATAGGTAAGGAAGAGTTCTTCCTTGGAGAGTTCAAGGGAAAAGGGCCTTACCAACACCTTAATTTTGATATCTCACCACCAGACCTGTGAGAAAAATAATTTTTTTATATTAAGTAAAAAGAAAAAATTAAATAATAAATTTAGAACTATAAGTTCTTTTATTTTTCAAGAACTAAACGTTCTTAACTGAAGTTAAGAACATAATTGATGTTTAACAACAAATTAGACTCAGCTGAAGAGAATGAGTAAATTAGGAGATGGATAATAAGAAATAATCAAGCCTTAGCCAGTTTGGCTCAGGGATAGTGTCGATCTGTGGATCGAAGGGTCCCAGGTTTGATTTTGGTCAAGGGCATGTACCTCAGTTGCAGGATTCTTCCTGGCAGGGTCCTTGGTCTGTGCTCATGTAGGAGGCAATCAATCAATGTATTTCTCCTACATCTATTTTCCTGTCATTCTCTCTCTCTCCAAAAATCAATGGAAAAATATCCTAACATCCTCAAGTGAGGATTAAAGACAAAGAAAAAAGGAATATCAAGATAATATTAGAAAAAAATGCACTAAATAAAATTCAAAATTTATTAATGATTAAAACAAAAAACAAAAAACCACTTTAGCTTGGCTGATGTGGCTCAGTCAGTGGTTGGGTGTCGGTCTATGAACCAGGAAGTCATGGTTCAATTCCTGGTCAGGGCACATGCCTGGATTGTGGGCTCTAGCCCCAGTAAGGGGTGTTCAGGAAGAGGCTAATGGATGACTCCCTTTCATCATTCATGCTTCTCTCCCTTTCTCTCTGAAATAAAAAGATATTTAAAAAAAATAAATAAAAGCCTTATACTAAGCCAGAAATGGAAATAAATAATGCAATAAAGGGTATGCAACCCAGAATCAATCATTTAAAAAAACATATATTT